ATACATACATACATACATATAGCTCTTAGTGGAAACTTGAACTTTTGTCCGTTGCATATATTTATTCTGCAGTATCTAGTCAGTTCTCTCGTGAATCTCTTAATTTATCAGGATATTCTTCCTAGTGGCAGGAGTGGGACATAAATGGCTATATTACTGACGAATATGCAGAATATGCTTGTCAGTGTGTGTATACAGTACAAAAATATGGCCACATGTACATGTTTTTTATTGGTTTCCAACTTCCTTTAATTTATCAATATCCCAAAACCATAAAATTTTCAAATCAAAGGTCGGTAAATATATGTGGATTGGGGAATGCGGCCAAATACAGAGCTATTTGTAACTCATTACAAAGTGCAAGACTTTGTACTTGTGTATGAGAAAGAAGAGAAAGGATGATAATGTACCTATGGTTGAGCACCTGTTTTCACCATCAATGGAGTCCACTGCTGTCAACACAAACACAGACCGAACAAGTAATGTGAAGAACAAGAGTGAATAGAAGAGCATCCGATAAGAAACTCGCCGTGACACAACGTTCACTTTGATGAACTCTTTCAACCCTTTCCCTGGAAGCACAGTGACATGCCTTAAGCTTGGAGATATTTGCAGCTGCATTTTGTCCCAAATGCAACACACACACACACACACACACACACACACTGAGGCCTTTCAACAAACACAAACACAACTAAACTTTGGAGTCCTTCTCCCCTGATACTCCAAAAGGGGTAGTTTGCACTCCTTATTTCATTTGGCACTTTGATGACTACCACCTGATGAAGAACAGAGGACAAGTGCAAGAACCCATGAAAGTAATTGTGCAGAGGGAAGGTTTTGATGAAAGCTGAAGGTGGTCACTATCATTCACCTACACTTGCTTAGCATTTGGGTCAGGCATGTCAGGGGATTTTTATGGGCTTTAATATTTTACTGAGAGGAACTGGGGTTGTTAAGGAGAAAGAGACACAAGACTAATAAGAAGCAGGGTATGTAGTTTGATTTAAGCTTGGAGTATTGACTTTGGTTTGAAGGTGAGAAGAAAGGAAAAAGAAAAGCAAAAAACAAAACAAATACGAAGTTGGTCTGTATTTGGTTGTTGTAAACTTGGCTTTGCCTCCACACGAAGTTTGAGTTTATATAGCACAGGGTTTGAAAGTTTGGACGATGATAGAACAGGACTTCTGTTTGGAAAATGACAAGCTTTCTCTATATGTAATGGTGGGTTTCATGATGTGGTTGTTTGAGTAAAAAACCAGTAAACCTTCTATTTGTCTCCAATAAATGACCTACCTCTTGAGAGATTATTAAATATTAATTACCAAAAACAATAACTTTGACCAGCTTCATTCATTGATATCATAAAGGGGGCGAGATTATAGGCAGAAGAAATTCCATCTTGTCAAGTTGGCAAGTCGCGCCCTAGACGCTTCACGCATTGTGGTTAAACATTTTTTCTTCCGCACAACCCAACAATAAGCTACGAGATTTCATTCCACTAAAGAGAAATTCTGACGTTGGATTTTGGAGAATTCTAGAAGATACATTTGCCAACATTACAAAATTAACTTTATCTTTATATTCAAGTGTGAACAAAATTTAGAGGAGTTGGATCATACTTCCAAACTTAAAGAAATAACCCTTGGCCTTAATAATGTTTAACTAATGCATCATTACCCATAGTTTGAACAACTGTAACGAAATTTCTTCCTCAACGTAATATTCCCTAAATGTTACTGGTCTAAAGTTATTTTACTATGAATCACCATTAAAATATTATCAGGCCTGTTTAATGGGTGAATGATTGATCACCTGTGAGAGAAATAAAGAAAGCCGAAAAGATGCAAACCACAACCTCCCATTATTTACGCGTTTAGATGTACTCTGTTATATCCTATATTCTTTCTACTACTTCGAAAGAGGGATCAATACTGACTTCCTCGACCGAAAATGAGAAATGATTGACGTCATTTTTTACACGTTAAGAACGTGATTCGAATGGTGTCAGCATTCAAGGTTGGTGGTGCCTTTTTCAGGTCAACACGACAAATCAAAGAATGATTTTAAGTAAAATTTTACATTAGGATTTACCGACTTTTGAGTTTGAGTCTATTTTCAGACTAGATAGAAATGGAAACTGATTCGAGAAAGCACTGGGCTCGTTTCGCGGTTAGTTAACTTATACATAGTAAAATTCAGTGGTGATTTGATAAAGTTATTTTGCTTCACCAGAAGATTATATTAAGTTCTGTCATGTCTTCAACACTAATAAATTAATATCAAGCAGGAACAAGACGGGAAAGCAGCCAAGCTCGTAACGGCAGAAGAATTTCACCCAGTCTCGGTTGGGACATCAAAAGGTTGAGGATACCTTTGGCCATAATGAATTTGGTAATTAAACAATTATCTGGATCAATATAAATTTGGGATCTCCCAAATCTAACAGTAGTGAATAGTGAATTACTGATATTACCTCCCTTTTTTGGGTACTTTCTCTTGAACATAGCTTTTACAGTGAATTACTGACATTGCCCTCATTTTTTATTGTACAAGTACAGTTAAAAATTCATTTTAGTGTATATCTACAATAAAAAGCTATCACATTTAATATTTTTATTGTTTTAAAAAAATCGTTTTTAAAAATAATTTTAATCATAAATTATTGAAATATATTTATTAAAAAATTAACAACATAAAAAATTGTTTCTAATATTTTTATTTCAGATTTTTCTTTTTGTGAATTTTATGAAATACTTATATTTTTTAATTTACATATTTATTTTATATTTTTAAATAACTTATAACTACACACTATATATGGGATAATAAATTCTGAGTTATAGTATGTTGTTAAAATATTTGCACATCTATTACACTTAATATTTTTATCATTTTCAAAAAGATATATTTTTTAAAATATTTTTAATCATAAATTAGTTAAATATATTTATTAAAAAATTAACAACATAAAAATGTTTTTACATTTTTATTTTAGTTTTTTATTTTTTTGAATTTTATGAAATTATTATATTTTTAATTTATCTTTTTATTTTACATTTTTATTTTAAAATTTTTAAATGACCAATAACAATACATTAAACATGGGGTAATAAATTATGAGCTATAGTATGTTGTTAAATTTTTTATTTCTCATGAATAATAAATTACTAAATTTTTTTACATTATTATTTAGACTAAGTTTTGAACGAGGTGAAAGATTATAGAGTAAAATATGGTATTATTTATAATTTTGACATGCATCAGAATAAAAAAAATTATAAAATAAAACAAGTTGTTTATTGTATTTTTAATTTGTAAGTGATGATACATTTTGAGTTGCAAGTTGCTACTAATTTTTTTTTAATATGCATGTAGTTGACAAATTAAAAAGAATGACAAGCGTTATCTAAATTTTTGACATCACTTTAATATATTGTTTATACTTTGATGAGTTTAGTGTTAAAAAATAGGGAAATATGGTTGAAAGTTTTTAATTAATTTTTCTTTTTTTTTTCTCTTTCATTTTCTCTCTATTAAAATATTGAAATTCTATTTGCCTATATGTTTAAATCAAACTAAAATCTCTCCTTTCTCCCTCCACTTTTCTCAAACTAAGTAAAAAATTAATATCCCTTATTCATTATGTGGAGACATATACCTTTTATTGTATAACTGTCATCATTTGGATAACTCTCCCCTCTCCCTTTCTTTTTTCTTTTTTTCATTGTATAAACTTTTATATAATACTGATTTGGAGTGTGTCAGATAGAGTTGGAAATAAGGGTCGGCCCTGATGGGCCGCCCGTTTTAATCCATTTTAATAAAAATTTGGGCTTGAAAATTTGATATTTTTTAAGATAATTGGGCTTTGAAACCCGACCCTTTTAAGTCCTAAAAAAATGAGTTCAGGCCTGGACAGCCCATCAAGTCCGTTTAACTTTTTTTTTTTTGGCTTCTATGTTGGACTTTGGAGAATGGCCAAATTGGAGTTGGACTTTCAACCTCCAAGGAAACCTTATGCAACACACTCGTACTCGATCTCTCACTCTCACTCTCAGACTTGTGGCAGAGTTGGAAATAACATTTTATTTGTGGATGATGATGAGAGAGATCTTGATTAGCATTAATCATGACTTTTGTTTTTATCTTATTTAGACTTCTAAATCTTGAGTTTATTTTTAAATTATGTGAGACTTTAGTGTGATGTATCTTGAATTTTAGAATACTCTAAGTAAATTAAAATGTTAAATTTTATTTTATTTTTTTTATAAACGAGCTTATGGGCTCAACCTTGAGCTTATGAATAAGGGTCGGGCTTCAACTTTTGGATGAAATTGGGGTAACCGGACTTTCAAGCTTGGGCCCATAAGGGCCGAGCCCATATAGGCCAGAGTCGCCCGTTTCCCGATTCTAGTGTCAGACAAAAAAAAATTAATTCGATAAGATGATATCACACAAATGAAATTAACATCAATAAAATATAAATTTCATTTTCTTAAACATCTAACATCTTTTTACAAAAAAAAAAAGCCCATTGAAATTTAAATTGTTCTATTTTATTTTCTCACCATTAAAATTTTTTAGCTATGGCTTTTTTCATTTATTAAAAGAGAAATGTAACATCCCAATTTAAATTTTAATAGTTAATTTGGGTTAATAAAAATTTTGAAAAGTATTATTAAATTATTATTATAAAAAAAAGGGTATGAAAAAAAAATAAAAAAAATAATAAAAATAAAAAAAATAATAATAATAAATAAAAAAATAAAATATTATTAAATTATTATTATTATTATAATAAAAAGAAAGAAAGGAAAAGAAAGGAAGAAGAAGAAGAAAGCGAATTTGCTTCGTCCGCCGCCTCAACAGTAACAATAATAAAATAATAATAAAAAGAAAAGAAGAAAAAGAGAGAAAAATAATTAAAAAAAATGTGGGACCCACTGAATTTTTATAAAAACTCACCTGTTCCTTCATTTCTTCATTCCTTCTTTCGTGCGTGAGCTTCGGCAGAGAGAGCATCTGTGAGCCAAATTCACCGGTGCTGGGTTTTAAGATTGTATTACTGGTGAAGATTGTGGAGAGAGAGAAATTTTAAGGAATAATTTATTGAAAAAGCCACAAGGTAACCATGCTTTTAATTTATGATTAGTGTTACTTCATGTTAATTGGGTGATTATTGAGAAAATTATGAATTTTGTAATATTGTATAATTGTACAATATTATTATGAATTTGTTTATTTATTGTGGGAGGTGTTGGGAGACTTGCTATTATTGTTGTAATTATGTGCCACGTGGTACGCCCCTATTGGAGCTCAATAGGTGGTTTGTAAGGGCTCGGGCTAATCTACCTTTGGCCGGGTAATTTAGTACCGAGTGAGGGCTACGGCTCGAGGTTAATGGAGGGATATAAGGATGGTTGTTTGTGTTTATTATAATATTTCTTATATTTGTTGGAATTATATTATTTTTAATTCTCACTTAGTAAGCACACACTTAACTGTTTGTATACACTATCATAAATTGGCTTTGGTTACTGGGACTTTTGAGTCTCATTATGTGGTTAACAATTTTCAGGAGAAGAGCCAAGAGTGACACGTGGAGGAGTCCCAGAGGCTTAGTGGTATAGATCCACTGTCTCTTTTGGGTATTTAATTTATGATTTATAATGTATTATATTGCCAATATTAGGGCTTTTTGTTTATTGTCAATTATATGAATATATAAATGTAATCATGCCTTTCAAACTATTTCTATTTTTGGTACAATTTGGATGACTGTAATTTTAATATTTGGTTTACTTTGGATTGGTTAAAATGGCATGATTATAAGGTCAAATAACTGGCTTGTGTTGAAAATTGATTAAATTGCTTATTTTACTTGTTGGGAGTATAAGGATGGACAAATGTGATTTAGTTTACTTGTTGGGAGTATAAGGATGGACAAATGTGATTTAGCCTAATGGCATGTGGGAGGTAAAAATTTATCTGAAATGTTATAGTGTGTGAGTTGAAGCCGATTATAAAATATTTTATATTGAAATTTATTGATATAAAAATGTGTTGGGTGGCTGTAACCCAACTATGGTTGAGTTAAATTATTTAAAAAAAAAAAAATTTTGGTGTGTTACAAGAAACATATTTCTCTTGTATATTAGAATCTACAAAATTGTTACATAATTACATTTGCATGCTTTAAATAAATGATATAATCATCCTAAAATAATAAAATAATACTTCCTCCATTGAAAAGTATAAAGCATTTTTTGAAGAGTTGGATGTTCAAGTCTTTTAAGGTGTAATCATTGCTTTTTTTTTTAAATATCCCTATTAATAATGACTTCATATTTATTATAAAATATTTAATAGGAGTAAATATAAAAAGATAGTGATAGTTTGAAAGTAAATAACTACTTTATTGAGGATAAGATTTAATTAAAAATGCCTTATATTTTTAAATGGAGGAATTATATAAGTAACTAATATTAAATAAATGAAAAAATAGTATAGGTTGAAAATTCTACTTAACAAATTAAAAAACCATTGTAGTAAGATGCAATAGATTAATGTTTTTAAAATTATAATATTTTACATCATGTATAATGAAATCTTTCCCCTGTGCCGTACGGGACGAATTATAGTTTCTAACAAGGAGAGATGTCAAGTAATTGCTCGGTGGCTCTAACAAGCCATCCAGAGCCTAGAGATCATTTTTTTTATTAAAAAAAAAAGAAAAGAAAGATAAGACAGGTTTTTAAGAACTCATTACAATTAAGACACATGTTATTGCTCAAAAATTATTTATATTTTGTAGAGATATTTATAAATTACCTACTAATCACAATTTAGTTTCAAGCATGTTTCTTTTGAAAGAAGAGATGAATTGAACCACACAATAAGACCAATCTAGACCTAATGACTTAAAAATAAAAGCCTATTTAAAGAATTAAAGAGATACTTGTAATTACCCATTCATAAAATATTCACATTGGTAACCGGATTTATATACCTCTATGAAATATTTGTCACATTTTTAACCAATAGATCAATTTTCGTTGACGAAATTTAAAGATCTTTGTATCAATGAACGCCCCAGTAATGGAAGGAACTTATAACACCATAACGCCAATTACTTTCTTTCACCACTTGATTCTAGATTTTCAAAATTGAAAGATTGGTGTGCTGATTAATTCATTTGTAAATCCTTTTATCAAGATTGATATTACTACTTATAACGATGTTCCTCGTCTAATTTATCGTCTGGAACAATAAAGAAATAATCAAACTTGAAAAAAAAAATAATTCAACTTCCGGAGCAGAAAGATTAGCACGCTCGATTTGAATAGGGTAAAATAATTGACCAAATATATCTCTGCATCTACAGAGATGTTAATGCCCTGGTTAAGGCGTACTTGGGTATCCACAAAAAGCAAGATCAAAGATAGAGGAAATCATCTTAATTTAATAAATTAAAATAAAAAGTAATCGAGAACTTTCCTTTTTCCTTTTTTTCGGGGTGAAAAATGTAAACGAAAAGTTATGATTCTACTATTTACTCTTAACTAATTATTGATATAAGCATGTTATTTACAAGGCCAACAGATAAAATCCAGCAGAGCAGTATCCACAATTTTGCATAATAGTCAAGCACTTACTCCTTCAGGATCTTCACCTCTCCAACCATTTTATATTAACACTGTTAATTGAGCTTCCGGGGCCAAATGAAAGAATAATTACAAACCTGAAATGGGGACAAACAAAAAACAAATAACATATTAACTCGAACAAATTTCACTAGTTCATCTATAGAGGCGGAGTGCACCAACCAGAGCTATTTAGTACCTAATGCAGAGGAAATTCCATAAATTAAAAATTTAGTGAACCATAAAAATATCACAAGAAACTCACCATTTGAATGCTTTTACTATTTAATCTTCAATGTGATTCTCCATTAGCAGGCCATCTCTGACTCTATTTACTAGCTTGAGTTGACCCTCCATGCTTAAGTGCTCTATTCTATTATTTACAATCTCAAACTGAGAATTTGGCTTTGGGGAGTTATTTTTATTTACATAGCCTCTTGTTTTTGTTGGCTGAAGATGATCACCCAATCTAGGTACTTGAATGCCATTGTCCAATTCAGTAGAGTTTGTCGTACAGTCTGAAATCTTGCCATTTTCAGACATCCCAGTACTCTGATGTAACAATTGTTCATTTACCCTGCCATCCAGAGCATAGGCCCTGAGAGAAAAGTAGAATAAATGCTGGTACTGCTTCGCCCCTCTAAACTGAGATACTATCATTAAGAATAATAATAGGATGCACAAACCTAAATACCAATAAAAATACCTAAACCTTAGATTGATATACAGTTTCTTAAGTGCATTTGATCTAAGTCATGTGATATATTCAAACGAAAATACCTAAACCTTAGATTGATATATCATTAGATTGATAATGATATTTTAATATATTACATTGTGACATGTCCCCGTCCTCTTTTGTTTGAAAACCCTCTCTCTCCATTTACTTGGCAGTTGGCAATAAATGTTAGCTGTCTTAATAGTAATCCTGAAAATTTGGGTCTCATGTTAAATCTGGTTTGATATTGGCGTAATTTTTCTCAGAGTCACAAAGACCTGCTTAGAAAAATTTAACAACCTCCGTCCTGTGAGGACACTAAACGTTGGAATCACAAGAAAGCCAAGCCATTTCCATTTTAACTATCATAGGGTCATCAAGCCAAGTAATATACAATCCAATTTCCTCCCTCTTTTGCTTAATTGTATCAAAATTTTATTTACCCCTGCATCACACGGGCATGAATAACTAGTGGTTAGAAAAAGAATAGCTGGAAAATAAAAGTTATCAAACCTTGTTTGTTGGAGTTTGGGGGTCTGTATAACAGGAATTAAGTGCTTGGACCTCGCTTGAATAATGCGAGTAGGAATCCTTTCAATCTCAAATTCCCCTCCCGCAGCAGCTCCTTCATCTATTATAGTAGCTTCTTTCACCATTGAATGAAAATATATCTAGTAGGCAAGTTGGCAACAGAATTAGTTTTCCGAGTGTCAAACCGGAAAAAAAAAAAAAGCATAAGCATTAAAAACAGTTTACAGTTTGGGATTCTAAATTAAATACCTCAGACTTTGCCCACAATGGAGTGTGAGTTTGGTGCATCTGCAGTTCAGCTTGGGAAATATACAGATGACGATCTTCCTCTGAAGAGGAATTTGCTTTCACAACTTCATTGTTGAATTTTGGGTTACTGACAATGTCCTTTTTCGATTCTTCAGGATAAATTTTGTTGCCATCAGGAATTCCATTATCACCATATATGTCAATGTTATCTTCTCGCTCCCGTAAACTTAGTCTTTCACATATATTCCATTTCTGAATAGCTTCCACTACTAATCTTGCATCAGCTTGTGGAGCTAATTCAAAAGCAGGGTTTAATCCAGACACAATAGCTGAATCTCGACCATTTAACATCTGTAGAGCATATTGTATCATGGAACCAGAGGATGAAAAAACCAACAAGTGATACTTTGTTTTGGAATGCTTCCCATCAACATATCTGCCAATGCCCTTGCAGTGACAGAAAGATGAAGCAATAGCCCCAGAAAGGGAACTCATCTTTCCTGTGGCAGCTGCAGCAGCACCGCTGACAGTGCCTCTCCAGCCATTAGTTCCATTCCTAATTCTGCTAACAACAGAAAGTGTGATTGGTGGGCCAGCTGCACACAGGCTCTGCTTTTTATGCATTTGCAAGGCTGAACTATAAGGATTGAGGACTGCTTGGTTAGTAATACCACCCAATCCGTTATTTTGTGTTGGAAGACTACAATCAAGGGCTTGAATATTCACAGATCCTCCCTGAGGATTTATAGCAAATATATGGCTAGTGCCCCTAGAGGAACTTATCATAATCCAACAGCTGTCATCACTGAAACTAATATCTTGTATTACCTGAACAGTTGAATAAATATTAGAAAAGTCCGGGTTGTGTTGTACAGACACATTGAAGGGGAGGGGGGAAGATTTTGCAACAACCAGAGTTTAAACAAAAAAAAAAAAAAAAGCCGGATGATGCACTTACTGCATTAGTATAGCCACGTTGCAACCTGTAGAGATGAACATTAGAAGGGCCAGCATCGGATGCCTCTGAGTGACAAGGCATTATCTTATATACATTTATATTATGCCCCTGAACTGAAGCAGTCACCAAAATGGTCCCACTGGGATCGAAGCATAAGGCTGAAATAGGGCTTTTGTGGGCTCGCAGTTGAGTAACTACATTTTTACTGACAATATCCCTTACAATGACCTGACAGAAAGGAATAATATTAATTAGTTACTATAAATTATAAATGCAACAATATTTATGGGCAAATGGCAGACCAAGGGTAACAGAGACACAATATACAAGCATGTTGTTCATACCATGAGAATGAGATGACACAGTACGAGAGAGAGAGAGAAAAAATAGATTTCCCATAATTCAGATTCTCAGTTTTCTACAGATGCCTTGTGAAATACCATAATTGCTAAATTGGGTACAGTGAACCAATGACTCTAGTTAGAAGGTTAGTGTAACTATGCTTCTAGGTTTCAGACCAGGTTTTTATTTTTTCCTTTTTGCCCGTATTCTTCCAAGAGATGCAATGCATGTAATCCTCAAAAGCAATTTGAATTTGCCGCTGAATCATCTGTCTGGAAATGCACTTGTCAGTACAAATCAGTCGAGGCCATATTAGTCTGAAACTAAATTTAAGCCAAGAACAGGAGATGACACAGAAGACAATTTCACTAAGGGAAGAAATCATCACATCTATGGAGCTTAAAAAACAATCACAAACAACTGATGCCGTTCCAATTTCAAGGAAATGCAAAGTAAACACAGTATTCACCATCCCAATGTTGTCGGTGTCTGCTGAATGTCCATTAATGGTTCCATTGCCCTTCCAACCTGAATTTACAGATCGTGAAGAACTGTTGCTGTCAGACAGAAGCTCAGAGTAGTATCTGGAAAGTTTCTTATACCCCATATCTCCAAGGGACACAATCCCAGAAGCAAGTTGCTTGCTTGATTCTCTGGCATAGTGTGCAACCAAGCCCCCATTTGAAGAAAAACCAGGAAAGCTCGCTGAAGTTGTCAAATCTTGTGGATTGACATGCCCAGAACTAGATATTGTGACTGGACTTCCACTATAAGCCAGCCATCTTGAACCCACTGCAAGCGGTCCATAGCCCACCCCTCCAGAACCAGGACAACTTACAACTATAGGATTGGTAAGTATAGTATACTCTCGTTCTAATGTTGCAGCATCAAAACAGTGTATCTGCAAAACAAAAACCCCCTGAGAATTCCAAGAGAAATGGATTCAAAGTTGCTTGAGATGGATGTGACAGATTGTACCTGAGTTGATTGAGATACAGCAACTACTCGAGAACTGCACCTTACAGAATAAACAACTGATCGAAATTTCAGTGCATGGACATATGACTGGGATCGCATGGAGTAAAACTGAACAGTCGTTGGCAGATAATTTCCATTCAATTGCTCATGGAAATTGGAGGTGCCCCCATTGTAAGGTTTGGTCGGCCCATCCTGAATGTTACTGCCTCCAGCAAAGAAACCATTAGCACAGACAGCTAACAGCGGGCGGCTATTTGCAAACTTTTCTGCTGATCTCTTTGATGCAATTGGACTTGGTAGCATTTGCATAAAAGAAACAGGACCATCATGCCTGGAAACTAGGTCACGCACATTATGTGAATCTTCAACATCCCAAACCTGGAAGCCGGACCGAAATCCTAGAAGTAGAACTTGACGGGTGACTTCTCCCTCACCCTCTAATTTATCAAATCCAGCCCAGATGACCTTTAACAAATTAAAAGTGATTGAAATCAATAATCCCATTTAATAATTCAATAGAATTATCATCAATGATTTTTATATAAAAAAAAGAATTATTATCAATGATTCGTTACAATATACAACAAGAAAAATCAACACCAGATAGGAAACTGGATCTAGAAGCATGAAAACACAGAGTGAAATTTATCAATAATAATAGCCCTTAACTGGCATCAGTCACAGATAATAAAAGAAATGCAAAAATAATGAGAATAAGCAATACTAGCGGCAGTAAGGGTTTTTTATTATATAATTTGGTTTGGTTCATTTTTTCATCAGGAGAAATATAAGGACTGCATGTTTCAAGGTTCAAGGTTTAAGGGTTCAAACTAAACCAACCCACATATATAATTTGTTTTAGTCATCACTACACAGGTTATATACGTGATATCCGTTAACAACAGATAGATGCATTTGATATTTGAAAGTGCTAAAGATCCTATTTATAGTGTTCATGCAAGACAACCTGGTTAGGTGTCCTGCAAGCAAAATGAAACCTTGCTAACACCCCAATCCAAAAGTTTAGACCATGCCAAATGCCCTTTCAATCAAAGAAAATTGGAGAGACTAGTAGGGCATGAATTAAGGACAAAAATGCATGGCAACCGCCAGATTGTCGATGCATAAGTTGTTAACGCTCGTCTATTTTGAATTTCCAAATTGGGAAGGCATATTGCATTAATTTGTTAGATATAGCATGCATCTAAAGATTAGCTTTTTCAGAACATTCTATTTAACAAAGTTTTGTTGCGGTATGAACAAGACATGCATCCTAAAACATCATAAATTGGCAACTGCAAGCCTGCAACTTTACCCAGCCAGCTTGCCTACGGAGACCTACTTCAATGAAATTGTGAGACATATTTCCATTGGATTAATGGATTACATGCAAAAACACCCATGCTTGGAAATTAATGATAACGAAACTGAAACCAATAAAATTGTTCAGGGATTAAAAGGCAACAATCACACGTATGAACAAAAAGCTAACAAACTAACTTTCATTCCTGCAAGCTAATAGTCGCAGGTTTGGAGAAAACTAAATTGTGTAGTGTTACAAGTGATCGAGACTTATCAATCATCCAAGCAGACAGTTCACATTGCAAGCAAGAAAATCAACAGCCTATAAATTTAAAGCACTATAAAACAATTACCTTTACACGATAAATTTATGTTCATCAAGTTCCCGTCCAAACTCTAAAGTTACATTCAAGAGTTACACCATTCAGAACAAGCTGAAAAGTGAAAACCAAACACAAGCGATACCTGATCAGAATTGGCGTCATCATCCCTATCAACAATCGAGGACGCAACTGATGCAGCAGACCGAGCAACGTTGGAAGCACCGGAGGAAACAACCCTGAGGTAGCTGGAGATAGCCCGGAGCGAGCTGGGAAAAAACCCATTGGTTCGACCGGACCGAACGCCGCCTGCTTGCTGCGGTTTCTGATCATCATTCATCATCCCCAAAACCAAAGAGATGAAAAGTAGCAACCTCCTAGGACACAAAGATAACCGATTCCTCAAAATCACCCTCAATCATAAGTCCAGATGGTTTTTATTTTTCTTTAAAGCACCACCTCACCCTCTACGGAGATGGAAACTACCTCTCATGTCATAAGTGTCGCCATCTCCTTCACCTCGGCGAAAACTTCCAAATTTCAATTACTCCCGAAAACCACAAGCGCCCAGAAAAACAAAAAATCGTTTTGAATTCTCGTCGTGTTGCACCTCCCAAGTTACCTTTTTCGCTATAGCTATCAGAACAACGAAGCTAAAAACTAGTTGGGAAGATAAATTGAAGCAAAAAAAAAAAAAAAATGTTTTCAAATTTTTTTGCTTATCTTGATACCCACGAATTCAAATTCCAGCAATACTCAGTTATCTAAACAAGAATATTCCTAATAATTACAAATAAAATAATCCAAAAATTATCAAAAGAAGGATAAAATCAACGATTTAAATCACAACATATAAATATATTTTACGAAATATGTACAAATTTAAATGATTAAGAAGCAACTTAGGATGAAAACCGCCGAAAACCCCCCAGGGGATGAGAGGAGAGAGAAAATGTTAGAGAGAGAAGGGGGGAAGTGAAGAGAAATACAGGATAAGGAAGAAGGAAGGAAGGAGAAATCTCCCTGGTTACGTCTCTGAGAAATTTTTCAAAGCTAAATTTTCTGTAGGATTAGAATTTAGAGCTGGTTTGGGAATTCGCGTTGTTCAACTAATAATCCACGTCTTGTCTTCCTCAGACGCTGTCAAACTGTTTTCGCCCACTTCTCTCTCCTCCACATTCTGTCTCTCTCATGTCCTCATCTCATGTCCATAAAAGTTAAGACTCAGCCCCAACTTCAATCATCAAGCATGATTTATTAATTAAATTACAAGAATAAATTAACCCATCTTAATCTCGTATCACATGCTTTACACAACAATCTGATTCATTTAATAAGAATATAAATATAAGTATTATTTTCATTTATATCCTAAATCACTTTTCCTTCACATAATCATTCTTGTTTTAATAAATAAGAAAATAAGAGAATATATTTTTTCTGGAAAAAAAATATATGATATGTAAGGCTGTGCAAAAGTCTTCCAGTCCTGTCTGGTCCAGTCCAACCCGAGATGATTTCAGTCTTGTTCGGTCTGTATAGTCACTGGTCCTTCAGGACCAAAAGGACTAAAAAGACCAGACTATTTTTTCGGGTTGGACTGGACAAGAGACCAGGCATCCGGACCACTTGGTCCAGTGCAATCTTATTAATTTTTTTATTATAATTATAATTAATTTATTTTTGGCAAATGTTTAAAGTGTAATTGATGCTAAGGAGATGATTGCATAAAGATTTATTAAGTTTGTTTCTAAATTATTATTGTAATATAGTGTTGTTAAATTTTGTTGAGTACTGTTTTTGTTAAAGTTTATAAATTTAAATAATTTAGATTATAACAAAAATATTTTTTTTCTTATTGTTAGAAATTATTATGATTTATTATTATTATAAGTATTTTTACTATCTTAATTGAGTTTATTATGTTGGAATGAATTATTGCCTCTCATAGAATAAAAAGAGGAAAAAAAAGCTAAGTGAGTACTGGACTGACAGGACCAGTCTCCCAGTCCTATGGACCAAGTCCGGTCCTGTTAATCTTCGGGTTATCACTGGACAAGACTGGACTACGGGTTGCCTAACCCAGTCTTTTTTATGAAAGAGACCGGACTTCGGGTTAGGGTGAAGTCCAGTGCCGTCTTATCTTTTATGCAGCCCTAATGATATGTAGTCTAGTGGAAACAAAAGGAAAAGAGAAGAAATCTGTGCTTTATTTAGATAAAAAGAAGTTTACAGTTATTACCTTTTTCAGCACTTTTATATAAATGGAGCCAAAAGGTTTTGATTAGTATACATCTTATGTACTCTCCTCAAACTGTCAAAACTTATATAATAATTCATTTTATAATAATTCCATATTAAAAAGGGCATCACATCTAATTGTAGATCTACGGTGGGATAATCAGTAATTTTATTTTATTTTTTTCAACTTTTATTTTTTAAAATTATATGAGACTCACAATATAAAAATGAGTGTAGGTTTTATTGTGAAAAACTCATCATTCTATATTGTAAAGTGCATGACATTACACTGTAAATTTACAATGGGATAAACAGCAACTTTATTTTATTTGATAAATGTAAGACTCGTGATAAAAATAATACGTGTGAGGTCATACTATTTGGTGTTTATATTTTTCATATGTGCAAAATAAGAATGTAAGATGTGTTCGTTCCACTATAAATCTATAGTGAGACAAACAATAATTTTTATTTTTTTTAATGTAAAAGTGTTGTCGTACTATAAATTTATAGTGGAATGAATAACAATTTTTATTTTTAATTTTTTAATATTTGTAGAGATTATGTGGGATGCACAGTGTAAAAATAAGTGTGACGTTTATAGTGAAAAATAATGATAAATGTGAGACCCATGATAAAAATAGTAGTTGCAGGACCCTATTATTTGGTGTCTTTATGTATAAGATAATAATGTAAAATATGTTGGCATCACCGTAAATCTATCATGGGGTGAATCAAAAAATTTTTAATCTAATATTAAAAATAAATGTGAGGTTTATAGTGAAAAATTAGTGATATATATGAAACCCATAATAAAAATAATATGCATAAGACCCTGTCATTTGGCACTTTTATTTTATATATATATATATATATATAAGATTTGTAGGAGGAACGATAATTTTTTAATTTCTTTAAAATTTATACATTTTGTAAGATCATGTGCCATTTGCAATAAAATTAAACATAATTATATAGATAGATTTACGATCAAGTTCTGCCAGCATAATTTGTCAGGGATAAATTATAATAATGTTTTAATTTTTTAAAGATCATGTGGCAATTGCTAAATAATTCTCATAATATTTGTTTGTGAATAAATTTTCTTCTTCAACTAATTATGCAGGGTAGAACTTAGCAGTAATTTTTTTTAATTTGATTTCAAAATTTTTCTCATATTAATCAAAAAAAGAACACGAGTGTGGTGCGAAACTGGCATGTTCATCCCTAATACAACACATTAAAAATAAAATAATTTATTATTTATATTTTTAACATGCACAGGAAAAATAAAATTTTGAATAAAATAAGTTGTTGTTTAGGTTTATTTTAAATAAATAACAAATTATAAGTAGACTAAAACAAATTATTTTTTAAATTTTTAAATTTCTATTTTATTTTTACCTTCTATGTATTAAATTATTTATGTGCATTGCATAAGGAATAAATCTAGTTTATATTAATAATATAAGATTTGCTCAAACCAAATACCTCCTTTTAATGATTTTGTAATTTTAATAATATATGCTCCCTCCGTTCAAAAAAATGTAAAGTATTTTTTGAGAAATTTGATATTTAAAAACGTAAAATATTTTTAGTCTTTTAAGGTGTAATCATTGTGTTTTTTTAAAAAGTGTCTCTATTAATAATGACTTTATATTTATTATAGGTGTTTTATAGGAATAAATATAAAAAGATAAGGTTAGTTAAAAAGTAAATAACTACTTTATTGAGAAGTGAGATTTAATTAAAAATATTTTATATTTTTTAATAAAAGGAGTAATTGTAAAAACAAAGAAATTCTCAAACATGCAATTTCAAACATTGTGAAGAATGGTTGGCCACTAGGTACACTTAATTCATAAAATTAATTACACAATAATTGATGAGTCAGCCATAAACTGTGGATCCAGATGCTTTTGAATAATAACATTATCATGCAAGAATATATGAATATAAATTATAGGGTAAAGGGACAAAAATATTCACAAAACAATCAGCTACAAGTATCCAGTATCCTAAAATAATGAAAAGAGTAAAAATACCCATAACGTTATATGGATGGGTGCAAAAATAATCAGACCATTAACTTTGATCTAACACTGTTAAATGTTAACTGTGCATGTCACGTGTCAATTTGTGCTAACGTGAATTGAAAAAAGGACAAAAACACCCACGAAATCATAGGTCAGGAGCAAAAATACCCATAACATTATCAAAATTGGTGCAAAAGTGACTAATCCATCCAATCCCTTAAATGTTGATCGTTTAGCTGACACTTAAGCACAAGTTGACTATTTTTTTCATTGATGTAGACAAAAAATATTACTAGATAAAATTCTTTAGAAGTTAATCGGTTAGTGTATAAATATCATGCGAGAAAATGTCATTTTAATTATCAAATTAAATTGCTTGCTTTTTTACAGCAGTGGCAAAAATTATTTAAAATTTTTGGATCTATCGTGAATGCAATTGCTTAAAGTTGTGACAATGTTCTTGAGCACGTTGTACTCAATCTCGATCTTCAATTTTAAACAACTTATCTTACTATGTTAAATCTCAAGTTTTGCAGACAAAAAAAAATGAGTGGAGAGGGAGAAAGAAAGGAGGCAAGATACGTGGTGATAGAAAGAAACCACATGATTGATGAATCGTTCATTATTGCACCTATTAAAGTAACATTATAGGTACTCATACAATGATCGATCAACATCTGTAAAATTTATCTTGAAATATTTTTTGTTTATATTAGCGAAAAATAGTTAACTTCTGATTAAGTGTCACTTAACGGTCAACATTTAGGGGATTGAATGTATTGATCACTTTTGCACCAACTTTGATAACGTTACAGGTATTTTTGCTTTTGACCAACAATTTCATGGGTATTTTTACCTTTTTTTCAATTCACATTAGCAAAGACTGACATATAGCATGCACAGTAAGCATTTAACGGTTAAAGTTAACGGTATTAGGTTAAAACTGACTGTTTAATTACTTTTACACCCATTCGTTAACGTTATGAGTATTTTTATTCTTTTCGTCACTTTAAGATACTGGATGCCCGTGGTTGACTACTTTATGAGTATTTTTTTCCTGTTATCCTAAATTATATTATATAAAATTTATACTTGTTGTGCAAATTGTTACTTGAATAAGATTTGAGGTATATTAATATAATATTATTGTCCTTAGATTGGCAAATCAATAATCCATAAATTAATAATTTACCAAAAAATAATTAATTAATGTTAAGTTTTATATCCAATTGGATCTTTCCATCTACCATTGACAGCCTCTCTTTTTTGTTTTTTTGGGGCCAATAACCATTCACAGCCTTTTTACAACGTCGTTCAACGTCTGAAAGTTCTGTCAAGTGCCACGAGAGGAACCAGCAAAAAATGATAAGTTTGCCCAAATTTAATCTTTCAAATTAAATTATTCTTGCTTCATTTACCCCAAAAACAAAATCGTCTTGTTCCAAGAACACTTTAAAAGTTCCCTAAATGAAATTCATTAATTACTGAAAGCTGTTTAGTTAGTTAAATATTTTTTAGAAACATTTAGACAAAAGACATTTATTAGAACAAAAAAAGTTAATGCATTAGAAATGATAGTAAAATGTCTTGTGACAAGGACAAGAAGTAATATGATTTTAATTGTAGCATGAAAAATAATATTTTCTTCATCTCAAATTATAAAATACTTTCAAACAAATCAACATTTCAAAATATAAATATTTTAATAAAAATAAAATTTTATTAATAATATTTTTAATATTACTATTCACATTATATCCTCCCTTTTTAATATTCATTCAAAATGGAGCAGTAAATGAATAATATCTTCAAAAGTTCATATTTTTTTTTGAGAAATAAAGTGGAAAAGAATATTTAAGGAGCTTAATTTATTAATATATGTGATTTTATTTAAAAGTATTTTATAATTTGAAATAGAGAGAATATGTCTCCTCATTTGCTGATTATAAAGTAAAGATAAAGCTAATTAACTCTACAGGCTTTTTAAAAAATAACACTTCTTCTATTCCAAATAATAAAACAGCATCTTTTAAAAAAAATTCAGTATCTCAAAATATGAAATATTTTGATGAAAATAAGATTTAATTAATGATGTTTTGACAATATCACTCTTCCCATTATATTATCTCTCTTTAATATTTCTTCATGAATAAAGTATTAAAAATTTATATTTATATTTTAAAAAATAAAGTTAAAAAATATATTTAATCAGTTTTATCAGTATAAGTGATTTTGTCTTATTATAATTGGAGAGGGGGAGAGTAATGAATATTTTTAAATTTGTAAAGAATGCTTATTTTCAAGCTTATCCTTCATTAAAATTAATGACTGTAATAAAGTGGGGTATTTTTAGGGGAAAAAATATTAACTATTACATTTTAGTTTTACATTTAAGATTAAATAGGGCATTAAAACTTTGCTCCGAAATTAAAATTGGAGGGAGCATTGCAAAAGAATAGATCCAGAAGTGTTGGAAAGACGTTTAGGAGAAGTATTAGTGTTCGTATTAGTTTATTGCTAGTTAAACAAAACAGGTCAGAATTAACTACGACAAGCATGAATGCCTGAAATATGGTAGGCACTTGTACAGATAACTGACCTCTTCTTTTGATTTTGACCACGAGAAGCAAGGATCGGATAAACATGGCATCAATGATTATCAATGCACATTTATTACAGTTGGCCTCAACCCAGGAAGATTCAGATAACAACTCATTACTCACGCTTTGCTTGTGCTTTAATCACTTCCGTATTAATTATCACACATCATTATTATTATTTCTTAATAAACCTTGCTTTTTTTTTTTTTGTGGGTGGAAAACCTTGCTTTGTTTAAGCTTAACTTATGTCCCCCATTTGGGTAAAAAAAAAAAAAAATTTGATTGGACATCCCGTGCTGCATAACAAGTGTCAGATTACATGCGAATACTCATTTCACGACTCGAAGTTTGTGACGCAAAAAGTTGTGAGCAAATTCAAAAGCAGAGTGGTCAAAGATCAAACTTTTTTCCCCAATAATTCAGCTTCGTTGTAGTACTTTGTTAGTATCATGTGTGACTAACTGACTATAATTTAAATTTCAATCTCCTTGCCAAATCTGGAGAAACATGCACAAAACTGAACGCACCATTCTCCTCGAGGTTAATTTGGTCCCTGAACATATTCATACCCCTGCTGTTAAATTATCGGACGATGGTGGAAGAGCTGAAGATTCGTAGGACAAGGAAAGAGCGAGCGATAAATCAACAAAAGCACCCATGACCATGAGATAGCCGTGATTGGTTGGTTTCAGCATTGACCCTCAAATAACCAGCACAAGAGCTCCTCGAGGTTGTCCCAGTCTTTAACAGCGTGAGCCTCCGCCATCTCCTCCATGGACTTTGCGAAAATTGACGGAAGGATCCTGGGACTCCATGGACAGTACGAGCGCGCCTTTCTGTGGCTAAATCGGTGGCGGTCAAGCTCTTGTGCTTCCTCCCTCTAAATTATGTACTGCATATATGCTTTCTCGTTTTTATTTATTACTCTCTCAATGCATCTACACGCATTAGATTGTTTCATTTTCTATGACACTCTATATGATTGTATGGCTGCTTCCCCACAAGTTTTATCTTCATTTTCTCCAAGTGACTCATTTGATGCCTTCCAATCTTTGTCCCTATATAGTTTGATGAGAACACTATATATATATATATTATATATATATATTTTACTTAAATAACAGGGGTGAGCAGGTAGGTTTCACAAAACATTATGTCATGAACAACAAGTTTTTATGTACTCCAAATGTGAATATTATATAACATGTTTTTATATTGAGGGAGGTTGGATGAGGTCCAACAATGTTGTGGGTGGGACAAGATTTGGAGTTTTGAGTGAGATTTTCGGATTGCAAACCTTGGTGCAACAAAATGCTCTCCTGGGTGGAATATATAAACAGGAAAAACTGAATTATTAAATCCAAGTCAAACCCCTCCACAACACAGCACCCAGATGAAACAATCTTCGCCAAATTACGAGACTGAGCCATGAATCTGGTTGTGGTCTTTTCGGACCAAAAGAGGCGTTCCTGATCACCTTTTCACTGTCACCACGCTCTTCTTTCCGTTCCTCTGTTGGATCCTAAAGGAACGTGGGAAGGAGAGATTTCAGGGGAGAGGGAACCAGATAACATGGCAGACAGAGGGGGAAGAGAAGAGAGAAAAAATATTAAAAAAAATAGAATATGGGGCTCACGTTATAAACAATATATTAAAAAATGGTAAGACCTACAAACTAAACAAACGGAACTCGGACAATTTAATGGTAGAAGTATGGAATTAGCAAATTTTATATGTTTAAAAATAAAATTGATTTTAAGTTGAGTTTACAATCTCTAATGATCATTCAGGTAAAATTAAAAAATAAAAATAACCTTTAACTTTTTTTTTCTTTTAATAACAATTCTGTATATAATTGACTCGTTTAATGCACTTGTCCTAAAAAAAAAAAAAAGGCAAACAAATAAAACAAAAGAAAGTTACTTCCTCCCATACTTATTCCTTAATACAAGGCAATTGTGGGGTATTAATTATATTTTTTTAATATATTCTTATTTAAGCTCATTAATTACGAAAGAGAATGTAATGTAATTTCAAAAAATTTTCATTTAAATAGCAGTAAAATTATAAATTTATTTTATTTTCAGACAAAGTTAATAATTGACCATATCTTTTTTATTTTAGCAAAATAGTTATTAATGTCCTATAATATAGATATGATGGAGTATTACTCTTTCTCTTTCTTAAATTCTTGACCTCCATCCATGTTTTACTCTCTTATCACCTGAACTAGTTTTAGGTCTATTAGAATCATGCACACAATTATTATTAGATTTTTAATCAAATCCCTTTTAGTTTTTAAATTGTCAATTCTAATTTATTTCCAACAATTTTGCTCCTTCTACCATCTTTTATTCCTGCTTATGGGAGCTTCAAAACTCAAACGAACACATTTGCGTTCTCGACAAACTGTAAATTTTTTTTTTACAATAACATATTTTAAAATATAAACAAATAGACAGACGCACACTTTTTGTTGCCTTGTAATAGCCAAAAAGAAAAATTATTACTAGAATTCAAGATTTTAAGTTATTAAATAACATTATTTGACTTCGCCGTCTAAAAGTGGGAATACGATATAAAATAAAAGTATTGAAATAATAGTATCCACTTCTTGTACGCCAAGCATTTAAAATGGTGTGCTTCACAACTCACAAGCACAGCTTCTTATCCCAACCTAAACCAACAAGAAACCCCAAACTATTCTCTCACTCTTCTTTTTCAAAGTCATCAGAATTTTCAAAGTCATCAGACAGACCCTTCTCTCAATTAATTTAATTTCACCCTCTAAAACCTTTTTTTTTTATTAAAATTTTGTACAAAACTACAAATAATTAAATATTATCCTTAAATCGAAAACACCAAACTATACACGGCCATCGAATTAGAAGTCGCATGATTAAAAAATGGTGTTATGGAAATGAAAGGAAATAAGAGATTATACAAATGGAATGATGCTTTAAATAAAAATCCATTTGTGTATCTATTTATGATATGAATGATAGAAGTTAATGATTTTTTTGCTGTTTTATGTCATGTTTTGACCCCACAGAAGCTACTCGAAGACTAATGCACATTTAACAGCCCATTCTTTCAATTCTCATCCACAAAGTTTTGATTGAACAATGGGCTCTTCTCCTTCCACAATGGACCACAGCAACGCCAGGACGGCCCATGGAAAGCTCAGTTAAAGTTTAAATTTAACTAAGTTTATGACCCTTGTGATGCATGGGAGTGTTTTAATTTTAAAAAATAAAAATTAAAAAATTATTTTAGTATACTTAAAGTAAAATATATTTCTTTATCTCTCCTTTATTTTATCTTAATTACAAAAACTTCTTTTTTTATTTTTAAAATCCGTATAAATCTCCTTTAACATTAATAGTCAAGAGTTATAAAATATAAATATATTTTTTACTTTTAAGTTTTCATCTTCATTCATCTAGCCATTGCTTGATACAATTAAGTCACATATATTGATGTAAAATATCATTCTTGACATGTTATTTTAAATTTTTATTCATATTCTAAATTTATTAGTTATACAAACTAATTTATTTAGTATTTTTTAAAAAAATTAAATACATAAGTTTGCTAAAATAATATTTCAAATATATATGTGCAAAAAAATTAATGACATAAGAGATAGATTGGTCAACATAAATTATGTTTATGTTTGTTTAAATTTTATAATTTTCATAAAATATTTTTAAATTATTATCATACTTAATTATTTAAAGTTTTTTTGGGCCAAAAATTATTTGAAATTCCTTAAATTAGGAAGTGAGAGGATAGAAAAATATATTATAAGGGTAAATTCTAATTTAAATTTTTCACCATAAATACAATTAAATAAATTAAATATTTTAAAATATTTAACAAAATATTCCTAACAGTATTAAAAATGAGATT